AAAGTAAACTAGGGAATGGTAATTGTGAGTCCGGGTATTAACATCCAAAACAAATTATATTAGATAATTTTATTTTTGATTAGAAAAGAATATAAATCAAGACGCGAACGTGGTTGTAATAGAAGTTTGTATTACGTTGAATTGTCCGGAACGCGTAATTTTTTGTTGCATTTAAAAGGACAAAAAAAAAAATTTTTTTTTAAAATTATTTAATGTATACAATAAATTCAATTCTTTTTAAAAAATAATTAAAAAAAACGATGACATTCTCGTATCGAGGATTTAATGGGATAAAATACACTTATATCAAGGTACGAGAAACTTTTTAGATTTTTTTTTTTCGTATTTTGTAGCTTAATTTTAATGCCCGTGTTTATTTCATTATGTTGCGAATTTAGGAAACCTCATCTTTCACTTATGAATATCATCCTAAAGACATGTGATTCAGTCGTATTTGAATAAGATTTTTTTAAGTTACTATAGGATTTAAATAAAGATAAACCTAATAAACCTATAATGGCACAATTAAGTTCCGAAAATGTTTATAATTCAATGCATATATCCCAATTTTTCATCAAAGCACCATTATGAATCACATCGCAAAGACAATTCCAAGAGGCACGTTAACACCATAAAGTCATCCTTAATTCAAAAAATTAATCTTGTCGCTTTTAATTGAATGCCCACCAAGATCAAAGAAACTTTCATTAATCAGTATATGGGATTGAGTCCAAATATCATGAATTTGCTGTTCGAACGCGTTTTATTAACTTCAGTAAACAAATATGACGGTCCATTTCCTTCTATACAAAATAACTATTTCACCAAATTCAGTTCTAAATCCTCGGGATTTTTTTTTTTTTAAAAAAAAAATGAGAATGTATTATTGTCCGGAGCGAAGCGTAGGACATTATACTTTTACGAATTAATGGTTACACACATAATCACGTGTGGATTTCCGTTTGTCACGCCGCGTGTACGATAAGATCAGTAAATAAAAAAAAAAAACAAAAATAAAATAACAAAAACAAAAATTAATTTATTTATTTTAAATAAAAAATTTCGCTCCGGACTTAAAATGGTTTCCATTTCCTAGTTTTAAGACCATAAAACACGTGAATACTTATTGATATTCAAAAAATATTATTATGACATTTCCATCTGGCCTATTTCTTCAGTATTGTATTACCTTTGCCATCCGTGCCATGGATCTTATTGTCAAACCAATCCTTCTTTATAACATTTACCCAAAACGTTAATTTTCTAAACTTGATCTATCTCCTATATTGCTTGATCTATATCTAATTTTGTTCCGCATCATGAAATTTACTTCTCTAATCTTAAGTCTCAGCCAATCCCAATTTTTATCTATGCCACTTAAAGAATCTTTCACTTATAAACAAAAATCTGCATACTTTTTCAGTAACTATAACATGGTAAGAATACGGGGACAGAAGGAAGTGATAACGAAACAAAATAAGAGACAGATCTCGGTATCTGTTGTTCCATAATTTTGATATTGGGTGCAGATGTTAAAGTCACACTTGTTTAAATATCAGAAAGCATTTCGAAGTGAAGTATTGGAATGCTAGTATTAATAGATAGCAATTGACACAATCATTATTAAATCAATAAATTTCAAGACAAATGAAAAAAAAAATTGTTCTACCAGGTGATAAATGAATTATTGTGTCTTCATTTTCATCCATCCAGGTAGCCAATCTCCGGTAATGACAATATCTGAACATGTAATTTGAATTTCGTGGTCAGTACATTTATGATACCAATGAAGTTTTTTAAGCGGCTGATGACATTGGTCGATGACAAAGAATTGGATTCAGCATCGAGAATAAGGTAAAGACTAAGATGATAAGAAAAATTAAATACAATCCAAAATTAAACGCGGAGTTGAACGCGTAATATTTTTTTTCCTCTTTTGAGGTCCAGAACTATGAAAACTGGAAGAGCTAACACGTTTAGTCGAAAATTTTCTCATTAGCTTGCATGTTCCTTAAATTTTTTAAAGTTTATTAAAAATTTTACTAGACACCAGACGTGTTTAAAAAAAGCGATCAAAATGATACCACGTTTTTTCAAAATTTTACTTTAAATAGGTAATCAACAGATGTTCGTTCGTTTTGAATTCCTTTTTTTTTTTTAAAAATAATAATAATAATAATAATAATAAAATTATGAGATATGTAAGCGGATAATGTTTTGAAACTGTTAAATATTTAAACGCGTATTTTTTTAACAAAAAAAACGAGTAAAATTTTGAGTTATCAACTTTTTTTGGATTTAAATAATTTAAAAGTTAATAATTTAAAAAAAAAAATTAAAGAATTAAAGAAACAAAAATTTACTTTTTATTGCATTTGGTAAAATATGTCTTGCTACATCATTATAAAATTTAGTTTTATTTCCTTTGGACCAAGATGAGAAATTTTCTTGAAGATAATCAAGTAAGATTTTAATTTCACTATCTTTCCGGACCTTTCATCAAGATCTTGATCTTGGTTACTATCATCTCTAAGTCGTTTAGTAATATTCCTTTCAGGTGGAAGATTCTCACCCTCATTATATAAAATCTCATCCTCTCTTGGCTAAGAGAAAATAAAATTATAATAATATTTTATGATTAAATTACTGAAAATATGAACTACCAAAGTAATTTCATTATAATTTTCATATAATACCGGTTCAATTTGCTGTTGAACTTTTTGCAGCCGCTGCTGAGGTAAAGAAACGATTTGCTGTTGCTGTTGAAGTGAAGGAAGTAGAGAAACAATTTGCTGTTGCTGCTGAATTGGAGGAAGTGGAGAAACAATTTGCTGTTGCTGCTGAAGTGGAGGAAGTGGAGAAACGATTTGCTGTTGCTGCTGAAGTGGAGGAAGTGGAGAAAC